CTTTTTAGAGAACAGGTCTGGTTTTCACCCTGCAAGTCAAATTAACTTGATTTTATTTTTCAATTTTTGTGTAAATACTGTGATATTTCTATCTAAGGTTATCACACTGTGAGAAGCTCAATGCGGCCCTCGCCTAATTAGCATGTTTGCAAAAATCCAATTAGATACGAGCATGACAGAGAGGCAGACGCAGCAGACTGCCCAGGAGCCAGCCAGAGACTACAGCTGCGCTGCTCTGTGGTAATGAAGTCACTGGTTTCCAAATAGCAAACAGAGGAAGCCAGAGAGAGAGAGGGATGCAGCTGTCTGCCGTCTGTGCCGCAGCCTCTGTGTCTGCCCGGCCGGGGGAGACAGACAGAGGGAAGGCTGTTCCCTCCGTCTGACTCCTCTGACTCTGGGCCAGCTAGACGCTGCAAAACAAGGCCAGGGCAAATAAGCAACACATGTCCGGGGTTTCGCTCGCAGGCGCCTCAAAGATAAGCCTCACGTACAAGGTGAAACCGAATGCACAGACTTTAAGAGAAAATAAAAGTGAAACAAAATGTTTGTTGTGTTGTTTTTTTGTTACCCGTTGCTTAGTTAAAACCGATGCAGCAAGGTGGAAAAAAAAAACCAAACCTCAAATCTGAATTTGCTCTGTTGCTTCCTGTCTTCTTTGGAAACCAAATAAAGGAAAGAAGAAAATAAAATATGACGCCACCTGATGTCTGACTGTAGAGTCTAAGCCACTTTCACAGGCTCATGTGGGCAAAATGAGCCCATTGTTTGTGGAGTACCAAAATAATCTGTTTAATAAGGCTTTGGCTTGCTGTTGCTGTCTGTTCATGGCGTCCGTCAAGCAAATTTTATTTACACAGCAGGGATCTGCAGACGGGCCAGCCGGGCCTCCAGGCACAAGGCGCCATTTAAAGAGTGCAGGTCCTGGAGTTTTTAAATGCACCTACTTAAACCAAACACTCCCAACAGGATATGGGACTTTCTAGCCACTGAAGAGAGAAGAAAAAAAAATCTGTTCTCGTGTGCGTCTCAGCTCGTCTCGCTAGTAAATGTGCACATTGACGCCGTGTGTCAATAAGGGCTCATGGGAAAAGGGGGTTCATGTTCGAGGCATGAACCAGAACGCAGGGATGCATGCATGGCTGGCCTGTTCACATCCACTGGGATATGGAAAAAATGAGTCACACAGCCAGTCGAGTGGAGGCGGCTGGACACCAAGAGTCTGGAGGATGTTCGGGGTTGAGCGACATGTCCTCCTCGTTTCCTCTCATTTACGTACATGTGCAGGCGCAGATCGCGCGGCCATGGGAGGGGAAGCGCCGTATTGTGACTGAGTAAAGAGGGATGCTGCCGGGTCACCTTGTTCTCTAACTATTGACCTTTTATACACTCATACATCCGCTCTCAAGAGGAGGGGAGGGGCGGAGGCGGGTTGAGTGTCATCATCCTTTAATGTCGAAAATCACCTGCTTCCTGGAGGACTTCCATGCCGGAACCTCTCCAGGAACATGCCCCCCTGTCACTTCGTACTTCCCTGGAAAAGTACGAAGTGACACTTACGGATACATACAGATTCATCGACTGGCATCTCCGGTACAGATGAGAAAAAATAAATATTGTTGCAACTGATTTAATTTAAGTAATCGATTATTCTATCAATTCAATAATTAATTGTATGATTAATCACGCAAAAACTGGCACATATATAGCATCAGAAACACATTAAAAATGCAATTAAGCAAATGATTAAACTCATTTGTTAATAAAATAAATATTTTATTGCCTAAAAGGCAACAACGCAGAATCCTAGTAGCACAAGCTGGATGCATCTCCAGCTAAAAAAAATACTTCTATTAGCAGCATGTTAAAAGCTCAGCTTTTTCTACAGTGCAGGAATAATCTGTTGACTATTTTTTGAGTAATCATTGGATATCAAAAGTTGCTTAACAGGAGATTTGAACTAGAGGAAGCTAAAACTGCCACCTAAGTAGTTCAGGATTTAACTTCTGCTCTGAAACTGTTGTTCATCCAGCAAACATCATTCTTTTAGCCCGTATACTCCAGTTAATTAATCTATTAAGAGATTAGATTATTTCAACATCTGATTCATCACGATTCGTCCGTTTAATCCAATTAATCGCTTCAGCCATAATCTCATCTGACCAAAGCATGCTAATTTACAATCCCAGTAGTATTTAGCAAACCACACAGAGTTACGTTTGTGGTGGTAGGACAGAAACAGCTTTGTTATGGCTTCACTCCTAATCAAGGCATCTAATATTGCTTATGGTGATGCTACGCTTTACCTCGTTTACCGTGCTGCTCACTGTGTGTGAGGGAAAGATAAACATGGCTCCTCATCCAGCCTAGTGGCTGAAAGAAATGGGTTTTTTGTCTGACGTCCTATTAATAAGTAAAGGGATACAGAATGTCAAAGATTACCAATAAGGACCTCTAATACTGGTCATCTTGAAAAAAAAGTAGTTATTCTTTACAATTATTTTTAAAGAGATTGTTACGGTACCTAGCACTATCCCACATATGATTTTGATAAACTAATAAATGTACTTAAATTGAAAGTTGGATTTTCCCAACAGAAGCAGAGGAACCAGGAAAGCCTATAAGTGATTCTGGAGGTTTCTAAAATGAAACTAAAGTTTGAAAAGGGCACAGTGGGATAAAACCTCGTCACTAGCACTGACGTTACAGAGAAAGTGTGGAAATCACCTCGGAGAAGAGACAGCACCTAGAACAGTGGTGAGACGCAGGCTCCAGAGAGCCTGACAGAGTGTGAGACAGAGAGACGAAAAATGTGTCACACTGGCCTCCAATTATCTGCTCTTTACACATACATACACACACACACACACAAGCACGTACACAGAGCGACAGCGTCTGACACATAAAAAAAGCACACCGAGATGTTAGGACTTATAATCCAACATGACATTACAGATGCTTTGGTGCTTTTGTCGCCCGGGTCCATTGTTGTTCACTGAGTGCATTTCCGTTGCGGTAATAAAAACTCTGAGAAGAAACCTCCGAGTCGGAGAGATGGGAAAGGGGTGGAACAGGAATGCGGTTAGGATGCGAGACGACGAGACAGCAGACGGCGTTTCCGCCGCATCCACACGCTCCGAGTCAACCAGACACGGAAGAGGGAAATCATTTGTCTGTTTCCCAAACACACAAACATTTGTGTGTTTGTTTTGGAGTCCATCTCTGCGCACATAAGCAGCCGCTTTGTTAGGAAAGGTGACAAATAAACCATGTCAGTGAGGGTTGTTGGTTTTGCTTTGACTATAAGGGGAAAATTATCTCCATTTGTGCATCAAAGCATGAACAAACCGCAGCGAACCAACAAAAACATCCAGAAACAATACAAGAGTGAAACCGGGGGGAGGAGGGGGGTTCTATTGTGGTCAAAGGCAGGTCAGGGGACATAAACTACTTCATGGCAGGGGGAGAAAATCTACAGCTTTTCCCTCAGCGACTGTTGACTTTTTTATAGACTTGCTGGCCTTGTGGCTTTGATCATATATTGACATGTTTTCCCCCCACCTGCAGCAAGAAGAAAGAGAATAAGGAAAACTATCAAGCAATTCAGAGCCTCAGAGATGAGATGAAGAAATTCAATGAACCAATTTCAGGTTGGCCTCCAGGTGAAAGGACTCTGAAAAATAGCTTTTGCGTGCAGATAGTTTCCTTTATTCTAAGAAACACTCACTCCCGCCAAAAAATTTAGATTGGAAAAAGAAATCTCAAAGTAAGCTTGTTTAGGGAGCATTATGTTATTTTTTTAACTGCAAAGGCACGTATGAAAAAAAGAGGTTTCAATTTACTGAGGCAAACTGGAGCAGCAATTCTATTCAGGCGTCCCTGAACCTCCTACGCCGAACCTTTTGTTGAGCGCCATTCCCACTGACCTGTAGGTGACCCCTGAGGGGACAAATTATGCACTTCCTCCTCAGCTGTAGCCAGCTGGACTAACTTAGGTCTGATCAGACCTGGGGAGGCAGATGTCACCACCTGTCCCGGGACTCAGACACACTCTGGGTCAACACTGGTTTAAGAAAACACTGACCATAAGGCAGTCTGCTTCAGCCTAATAAATCAACCACATATACAGTCCCTCCAGACAGTCATGTTTTTTTTTTGTTGCACCCTAAAATTCAAAATTGCAGCACATAATCTCCCCAAAAAAGACAGGGTTTTAACATATTTAAAGTACAAATCACATTTTCAAGTACATTCTTGAAATAGCACCCTTGATAAAAATACAATTATGTCCTGAGGAGTTGTTAAAATGCAGAAGAAGAAACAATAAATCCTACAGAACATCTCAAAATAGTTTTTGAAACAAAACAACCAAACAAAAAAAGGTAAATGTAACACGCATGCTTTTATCTTCCAGGTTCGGCTTTCAAGAGATGTTGTGAAAGAGGAAATGAATTTAAAAGGCTATTGGGGATTGGTCGAAATTCAGCGCAGTTGCAGTGATTGGTCAGAAAATAAGGAAACAGTGAAAATGTTAAGGTGATTTGTCAGATGTGCTGAAGATGAATGGTGAAAATAAATTAGCAAAATTTGCAGATGAGTGAATTTGCTTTAATAGCCATGATCGTAACATCACAACTTCTTACACTCCAGAAAAACAAACATATACTTCCCAACACAAAAAAATATACACTTTTTATTATTAGATTAGCCACCAGAGCATGACAATTTTCACCTTGAACAATTGGTCAGAAACTCTAAGATCCAACCAGCAATCCAATCTCATCTAACCAGGTTGCAATAACAAGCACATCATTCAATGTGGAAGGTGCAACTGATGGAAGAAGACTGGAAGCTAGCTATTTCAGGGATCAATGAGGCGCACTAATGTGAGAACTATTCAATGACAAGTTGGCCTCATTCAGGCCGTGACAGAGTGAGAGGAAAAGCAAGTTTTTAGGAGAGAAAAGTTAACACAACACACAAAACAAACAATGCTGACTTACTTTGTCAAGGGAGCTCTTGAGCTGATAGTGGAACTTCTCTTTGACCTCGTCCAGCAGCTGCTTGAGTTTGGGCTCCTCCGGAGTTCCCTGGTACTTCCTGGCTAGTTGCAGGTAGCAGGGCCACTTGGCTGAATCAAAGCCCCAGTGGCAGGTCCTCTTATCAGGTGACTTGTGTGAATGCATGACAAACTTCTGTGGCGAAAAGAGCAGCTGGCACTCAACGCACTGGATGCAGGGGGCCTCGGGTTGGGTGTAGAACTGGGGCACGAAGAGGCCCTGACACTTGCCCAGACACTGGTGCTCCACCTGGAAGCTGGCCTCGCTCTCCTTCAGCAGGCCCTGGGATAACCGTTTGCCGCTGGGGTCGGTGGGGAGGGCGGCACCGGGACGCAGCAGGGCGTTGCACAGCCGCTGCGCGTCAGTCAGCGTGATGAGGCCGCAGGATGGAGCGTTGAACGGCAGGATGCCCAGCACCTTCAGGATGTGCAGCTGCTCGGCGTCGCAGCGGGAGCAGTAGACGTACAGCTCGTCGCACACGGTGTTGATCTGTTGGAGCGAGAAGTCCCGCAGCACTGAGTTCAGCACCTGAGGAAGGCAGAGCCGCTTCTCGCCGCCAACCACAAAGCAGGAGATGGACTCTCCTTCTAACAGGGAGTGGGTGAGTTCGGTGGAGCTGTCGCAAGGAACCAGAAGAGGGCCTCCACCCAGAACAGGTGGGGAGGGCAGGGGCGGCAGTCCTGCGGGGGAGCTCTCGTGGCCCGTTCGGGCCGAGAACGCGGCCGGGCCACCGAGGGAGCTCTGGCTGCTGAGGGTGAACTGAGCCAGCGTGTGTTTGAGACCAGGACTCAAGTCCAGGGCTTTCACGGAGCCCACGATGTGCAGTTCGCTCCGGGCCTCGGCGTCCATCTCAGCCTCATGGGCTAGATCTTCCATCAGCTCCTTCTTCACCTTGGGAAGTTTCGGGAAGGAGTCCAAACCGCGCCTCTTCAGATTGATCTCTGCCATCACTCGCTTCTTGATGGGCGCGTCCTCCATTCGCTCCCTGTATGGCCTCTTCATGTTGCCCTTAAAGGAGGTCAAGTCTTTAAAAGGGGTTTTCAAACTGGTCTGAGTGCTGGCCATGTCCAAGTATGGGAATTATCGTCCTTCGCTTTTTCTTCTGACCTCTGTTTCTTGTTTTCCTGGTTTCCGTTTTTCCCTTCAAGTCTTTACTAAATGAAAGTCTTCTGGTAGCTGCAAACATGCATGATGGTTCCGGAAGGTCTCTAGGTTCTGATCCGCTGTCTGCACACAAAAAACAAAAAGGGTATTTTAGAAAAGGCAACTCTATACATTGTAGCGTCTTTACATCCTTTAAGCAAACTTCACTGGAGTTTATTAGGGATTTAATGCAATACATAACAAAGTAAAGGGATGTAAAAAAAATTGTTTAAATGGTTGCAGGCATTTACATTGAATCCCTCTCAGTCATTACTTTGCAAATCTTTGCCTGGACCCTAACCCTAATCCACTTCATTGTAGCTCTAGCTGCATATTTGGAGACGTGAACTTCCACCCAGTGGCGGAGCCAGAGGGGTGGCCGGGGTGGCACTTGCCACCCACAACAGAGCCCTGGCCACCCCTAGTGCCACCCCACTGGAAATGGTAATTTTAAAATATAATACTTATGAGATCGGCAAAGATTTGTCAGGAAAACTGTAATTTCCGACTGTCCCTGAAGGCAGCTCGATGCCCGACGCTGTTCATTGGTTAAACTGACATGTGGGTCCTGCTTGATCCAAAACACATTTAGAGTTACACCGTCAGGAGTTCTGCAGGTATTTACAACATTTTACCGCTCAGCGGTAACCGCTGTTACCTTCCTAATGAGAGGCGGCAATTGTCATACATTTCTAAAAAGAAAAAAAATGGTTGTGCACCGCTACATAGTGCCTCGTTTATTATATTAGCCATGCTAGTGCTGGTAGGTCGTGTTTTAGACAGATTCTTTTAACATATGTTTTAGTGACATGCTGCCCTGTAATGTTTTCTATCTCCCAGCTCTTGCTTGAAATGTGTGTGGTAAGAATATGTGAAAAATCATTAAGTTTTGTAATGACTGAAATGTAAGTAGGCTATGTCATATGAAAGCTTTGAATTATAACCTAACTAGTTATATTAATTAATTTTAATTAATGTATTTTTAATTTAGTATTTTAGCTAGCTACAGAAAACTAAAAACTAGTTTAAATAATAGTTTAAATAGTGTTGTCTCTGCCAAACAGTCATGGAGTCTAAATACCAGGCTGTCTTATTTTGTGTAGAGCCCAAATGAAGAGAAAAGGGAATATCTCCCAGTTCTTCTGAAAGAGGCAAAAACCAGGGCCAGACAGAACCCTGCAGCAGTGACCAGGACCAGACAGAACCCTGCAGCAGTGACCAGAACCACACAGAACCAGACAGAACCCTGCAGCAGTGTCCAGGACCAGACAGAACCAGACAGAACCCTGCAGCAGTGACCAGGACCAGACAGAACCCTGCAGCAGTGACCAGGACCATACAGAACCCTGCAGCAGTGACCAACCTGGAGAATCCAGCCAGGAGACTCCAGGCCCAAGTGGATCACCAGCGGGTTAGAGGCTGTGACAGAGAGTTATTAAGTATTAAAATCCAATAAGCCTAATTCTAAAGGTTAGCATGATGCTTTTTGCATTTTTATTGTGTCTGTTTATGCATTTCCAATTAAGTTCCAGAGAGAGATGAGGGTGATACAGATTCAGAGTCAGATTCTGGGGAGGAAGACAGTGAAGCAGAAGGAAATGGCACTGAACTGCCCCCACCCAGCACAACCTATTGCATACCAGTTTATTTGTTTATTTATTTTTGAGAATTTGTTTTTGGTCATATTATTGGCTCTGAGTTTACATTTACATGTTCACTGTTCCATAGTGCCGTTTAACGTCTTGTTTGGTCATGGCAAATCTTAGTTAAATAAACTATTTTAATTTGAGTGTGTGTGAGAAAATATTTGTTTCCTTTCGTTCATCATTTGTATATGGACCCCTCTGATAAAGCCTTGCTCACCCTTTGGCCACCCCTTGAAAAAAAGTCTAGCTCCGCCACTGCTTCCACCTCAGTCTGAAATTCCACTCTTCAAACCTTAATTTGTAAAAAAAAAATTTGAAAACCACATATTGACCTCATGGTGTCACTACTTTGTTCTCAAACATAAAAAGTCTTAAGTTTGTAGATGTCAATATATATACATTTTAGGAGGTTTTTGCTCATGCGAAGGCACTATACATCCTGTTCCTGATATAAAAAAAATAACTGAAAATTGTTTCAGAGCAGCAAAGGTTCACAAAGAGTGTAATGTTTTATGCTGCCTCTGCTTTGGGCAACAGAGGTCAGAGGCTTCCAGCATGGTCCACTGAACCAAATGGCCATTAACCCACTTCACACAAACAAAGGAGAAAATTTACATCAGGCAGTCCAACCAAAGGGTTTCAAACCAAATTCTCAAGCGCAAAGTGAGAATTTTAACAAACCAGTTTACCAAGGCTCGACAGTGCAAAATCCTTTACCGCCCTGCTTTTTTTTCTTTTGAGTGAAAAATAACTTTGCAAATGAAAAGTGTCCTTTCTAAAGCAGTGATAAACAACTGATAGAAGAGGTGCAACTTACCAAAGCTGCAGTTTCTTAAGTGCCAAAAGTTCTGCTATATCAAGGTAAATAATTATGCAGAAATTATAGAATGTTCAGCAACAGAGCGGAAAACAAGGCACTACGACTTAATGATCAATTAATCATTGTCCCAAGGGTTATGAGTTTGCATCTTTCTGGAGAACGGAAATACCTTTTTTTTTTTTTTCCGTCTCCAAGTCTAGGCAGGTTGATGTGTGTAGGTGCTTTAATATGAAATATTTGTGGGCTTCAAGAAGCCACCATCTCTGCACTCTTTTGATGACGCTGGATCTAAAGTTTTTAAGTCGGTACTTGACTTAAAGGACGATTACAATGCGTGAAATTAATTTGTTATTAGACAGCATAATTTTGTTGTATCTTTGTCCATCATGTCTATTTTACCTACCTCGCTACTATTTTCAAGGTTATCCCGATCATGAACATTGAAGAAGCAAAAATTGGACTTCAAATTGTAGATATTTTCACTTTTATAAACAAAATAGACGTTTAAGAAATCACAAACGGTATTTCATAGAATATCTCATTAGTCTAGATCTATTCTATTCAGGTTTGACAGGTTTGAGCTGTCTGGGTGTTATTGTTTTCAAGACCCAAGGTGTTGACTAAAACTAAAACAACAACAACAAAAAAAGTGTGAGAGAAGCTAATTCTGGCTTGTTCTTTTAGTTGAATACAGCAGGGGTGTGCAGCTCCGGTGTCCTCTGGTGATGAACCATTAATTTGAACCAAAGTGACATTAAACCATCCAGGACATTGAGGACTGTCTGCATTTTCATGATCATTTCTGAGTTTCACCTGTCTACGGGGATCGACATTCAACCATAATCGCCCCCTTTAAAGTTCAAGCTTGACCAGATTCGTTTAATGCGGCGAAATGGTCCTTTATTCAAGCTGCGAATCGGATGCCAACTTCAACCTCGGTTCATTATGATCCATTAATTTACGGCAGAAAGCGCATCGCCCGCAGAGCTTCACTCCGACAGTATGAGACGCCTCGCAAAAATCCGTAAACTTGATCTCCTTTAATGTCACTCCCTCCACTTCTAGTATCATTTTTGCTGCAAGGACACCGCGTAATGCCCCTGCTCTCCCTCCCCCCTCCTCCTCAGTCTGTAGCCGCTCTCCTCTGGCTCGGCTCTGGTATGCAGACAGTGCTGATAATGACATTCACTGTCTACGCTACAGTCTGGTCTGGCGCACGCCGATCTGCTGAGGGCACGGTTGGGTTTCCGACCGCGGCGTTTATCGGAAGGGCGCCGCGCTCGGAAAAAAGCACTAAAAATATTCCACCTTCGGAGCTGTGAACTCGTTCTTACAAAAGATTTAAAGCGAAGAAGAAGACCCTGGAAATAAATTGCCTGTTGGCTTATTTAAAGAGAAATAGGCAGAAATGAAAAGTGATTGGGAAGGAGCACATTTCCAGGGTATTCTCTGTTAAACGGAGCTCGGACAGGCTAAACGAAGCTGACCCGCCGGGCTCCGTCCACACGCCACGGTGTGTCCGCTTCGACCGACTCTCACCGGGGCGCTTCACCGGGACGAGCTACCCCAGCACAGTGACCGATAAGGAAGATAACCCAGCGCTGATATTCCAGCGGGTTCACCTCCCCCCTGATAGGGAGCGATACGGGAGGCTAAAGGAGATTAGCTTCACCGTCTCCGTTCGCGGCGGCTGAACGGAGCAAACCCGACCGTTAACCACAAACCGTACTCCACTTCAACAACCCCCGCTTTAACCGACCCGTTTTAAAAACTCAATGTCCTTCTATCGTCATTATCACCATCATCATCATTATTATTATTATTATTATTATTATTCGTAGTAGCCACCACTTGCCTGAACGACGTCCGCGTCGTCCTCTCCGCTCCGGGGTCTTCTCTGTACTGGAAAAGCCTGGCGGACCGTCAACAAGATGCAGAGAGAGGCTCCACTACAGCCCCGTAACGTCACACTGCACACGGGCTGAGAGGCGGAGACGTCACCCGGCTGACGGAAACTATGCGGGGGTGTCTCTCGTCTGTCTGTCCTCCTGTCTGTCTGTCTGTCTGTCTGGCACGGTCTGAGACGCTGGAGTTTTCCCCTCCAGCGGAGCCGAGAGGCACCAGGGGCGCTTCCAGAAACTTTTGTAAAGGGGGCGAGGGCACGCAAACAAAAACATTTAAAACAGAAACTGAGGAGTTTGATTTAGCTACTTAGGTTAAAAGATGGGAATTCAAATTTTTTAAAGCAACTCAATACCTAAATACTATGTTGTGATATTTTTTGACAACATTTTAAACTTTTATAAATATTTATATATGTGTGTGTGTACTGTGTGTGTGTATGTTGAAAAAAAAATTGGGATAAGTGATCCAACTTAGGATCCATATCTCTTGAATATTTTTTATTTTTATTTGTAATAACCACAAAGTATTTTTAGTCTTGTTCCAAATATTTTTATTATTGCTATTATTCTTCTCACTGTTAATCTGGATTTTTATATCTTGTTTTTAACACTTTAAAAACTTTTTTATGTGGACCTTTATATATGATGCCTCTGTTACGCTAGAATTTCTTAGAATAAATGCTTTTTCTATCCTATTCTAGTCTATTATGTTCTATTATATTCCCTTCTCTTTCTGTATATATCATATCATAATAGATTCAAGGGTTGCATTACATGACTACATTAAGCATAAATGTGTATTTTAAATGTCAAATAGCTGTATAACTCACTAATGATTATTATTATAAGTAGTAGTAGTATTGGTGTTTCAGCTAATAATAATTATTATTCTAATTACCCAATTATATTGCTAATAATCCAACTGATTTTCCAACTTTAAGCTTGAACAAGCTTCTCTTTGGATAAATCTGGTGTATCTACATTACTTACTCATGTTTATTAATTTTCATTATCCCCTGAAAAAGAAAATAAAACAAATCAAACGTGAGTATCGGTCATACAAAAAATATAAACTATGTCAAAACACATTTTCCTTCTATATATACTTCAGATATCTCTTTACATTAAGCCAAAATAAAATGTTCTAACATCTTCAAATTTTACAGAGTTAAAGAGATATTTTTGACAGGGCGTTGAACCTTTCCCCCCCTCTGCATGTCCTTCTTTAGCATTTGCTCTCTGTTTTGTTGACTTCCCATTGAGTTCACAGAAAAACGAGAGGACAAAAGAGGACACACTCACTGGGTTAAAGGGAGTCTTTCTGGCCCCCTCCCCCGCTCGTCATATGGACATGTCCTCCAAAAGAGGTCAAAAGGTCACCTAGGAGGTACATTGTAATTTCACAGAAGAAAGGATCTAACAAAAATTAGTGTTCGAAGAAGACAGAAATCCTTTTTAGCGATTAAATCAGAAATTTTCTTAGAAGAGTGGGTAAGTACAGCGTTGTACTCTTGAGACTGAATGAACGCTGTAACCTCAGAAGGTTATCATCCTCCGTCGACATTTTCCGGCGTTTTCTCAGCTGAGGCCGGCCGGCCGACCCGCAGTCTGATGTCACACGTCTGCGAGAGGTCCGAGCGGCTTGATAAAGCTTCAATAAACAAAGCGGCCGGCCGCAACCTTTTCGCTGCAACCTTTCTATGCCTCACTCTCTGACAGCAAGGTCAGCAGTTGTATTATGAGAGCAGATGTGCATACACCCCGCGCAGCCCCAGAGAACAACAAGAGGGACATTGATTTTCCTGTAATAACATCACTCTGTGTTCTGTAGGGAGTAAATTAATCTCATATGTGCAATAATGTGACTTGTGCTGAATGTTCATCGAGGGTTTAACGGCAAAAAAAACGCTGAAGGATGAAGAGGACGAGGAGGAAAAGGGTGGGGGAGCTGAGACTGGTAGACAAAGTGTGACAGACGGGTGCATTCATAAGCCTCTCCATTAGCCAAGAGTCCTCCTAACTGTTATTGGACTTAGTACTAAGTGGACCCAGGAGGCAGACACCTCGCTGGTCTAAGATCAATGGGAGATATTGAAATGTGTCTTGGGTCAGTCAGTGGATCTATGTGTGATTTGGAGGTAATGATGCTTGCCGAAGCGGCAGTCTGAGGTCACACACCTTCACCGCAGAGCCGGAGCCGTCGGTTGGTTTGAGTCAGTCAACATGATTCTTCAATCTCTGGTTCTCAGTTGGATTTGAACACAAGCTGAGCATTTAGGGTCGTTCCTAGTGGAAGGTCAATGCCTCTTCCTGCTGAAAAATGTTTCCTCCCTCGGTGTGTTCAGGTTGACGTGTACGTTTGGGTTTTCCTCCACACACATGAAGTGCATCTTAGACTAGCAGCAGTTTAGCAACTCCAGACATTGAGTTTTTTCTGTCCCGCGTCGACCAGAACTACTAGCTTGTTAAAAAGTAACTGTGGAAATTTGCTCTGTGAGTATGAAAGCAAAAATATTTAATAATAGTTTACAAAAATGGTAAAAAAAATACCAAATTTCTTAACGATTCAACTGATATTAAACCAGCTTAGCAATTATAGTGCCATCTAGTGGCACAACTGTCAAACTGCAACCAAGTAAATATACTTGCAACTAAACCCAAATTATTCCAGTACTAAAAGAGTAAGTAAAGACATAAAACAAATGAAATTAAAAGATAATACAATAAAAATAGAAGCACGGTATTGTGATATGGCTGGGGGAACAGATATTAAAGGCAAGCTTCATTCTTAGAAGATGAAATCACAAGTACTTTTATTTTTATGCAATTCTTGACTAATTAAAACAATAAAAACAAACTAGAAACGTAATTTATGTAGCATTCTTCTCAGCGATTGTCGGAAACATTGCTTACTGTTGTTTTTAGGCGAAATGCACAATGTTCATTTGTTTATTCGACTGAAACATCAAAATAAATGTTTTTTAAATCAATATTTTGAATTAAAATTATTTACCAATTTTAAAATGTTTTATTTTTATTCAAAAAGTGAGTCGCATATCAGACTTGAAAACTGAAACAGTTTGTTTAAGTGAAAACAGCTCTGTATTATGTTTCAGCCTTTTAAAGTGTAATTAGCCTTTCTTTGCTTTATCTAGCGTTGAGAAAAAAACAGGAATACATCAACTTTCCATGGGTGTTTTCTGTGCTGCGCTGTAATGAGACTCACAAAGGAAGTTGCCTCATCTAAATACATCACATTTGGTTTCTCTTGTCATTTTGTCCTGTTTTTCTGGTATCTGCTTGATATAGAAGAACTTATTGAAACCCTGTGGCACCGTCTGACTGTACTGACCTACATTACATTCAGATTCATTATCTGAAACGTCAGCGCTGCTACTGTACGTGACCCTGAAACAACATATTGTCTGTTTGAAGCTTCACAGACTGTCAGAAAACAAACCAGAATGCTACAGCCATTTATGGTTACTGACACCTCTTAGAGTACAGCGTTACCTCAGAAATGACAAACCGAGCTGGGTAAGATGAGTGTTGCTGAGAGTGGATAGAAATGAGACAGACGGGGTTTCCAACATGGTGCAACATACAGTCTGACCCAAATTTTCAGATGGTTTAAAAATATATTCAAGGATCTCTCTTTTTCAGTTCAAAATATGCTCTATTTAAACATTTTTAGGTACTACTTTGCCCTCCTTATTGTCTGCGCCACAAATCTGGAGCAAACCACCAGAAAACTGCAAAGATGCTGAAAAAAATAAATAAAATCTTTAAATCTAGTCTTAAAACTCTCTTGTTTAGAGTTGCCTTCGATTAGTAGCAACATATTTGATGTAGATTTGCTTAATGATGGCATTGGACAAAATCATTGTTTGTGGGTTGTTTCATAATTGGTTCCTGGATTATGTTTGTGTTGTAAAAAGCAATTTGAACTGCCTTGTTGCTGAAATGTGCGTTAGAAACAAACATTTTGGCTTCAAAATAACACTTGTAATTTCAGTTTTTTAAATAATTTCTGCCTTAACCATAACTATACTTTTCTTTCACCTTTTAAATTTAATTTTTGAAGAAAATCTCAACACTTCTTTTTATGTCTAATTGACTGAAAGGATAGAAGTTTTTTTTTTATCCCCAACAAAACATAATGTTAGTAATTTTTACCATGATTAAAACATACTTACGTTTGTGATGGTAGGACAGTGCATAAAGATAACATTTAACGATTGTTGTTAAGACTTGATGAGCCCAAGATGCCACTCTTAGCTGCAGTTGTCTAGCAATACACTTGGGAGGTATATCTATATAGTTTTGTTTAACCAAACTTGCCATCGTTATCACTTTGCGTAGTGGAAAGATAAACCTGAGTTCTCTCCCACTCACTAATGATTATTATTCTGGGTCTTGTATCTCAAGAAAACAAAAAGTCACAAATCACTTTTACTCACAGTCTCTGTATGACAAGCCTCTGTAGGCGGTTCGAGATGTAAACAAGAATTGATTTAATCAAATCTACCATCAAAAAGTTAAATAACGTGAAACTATGATTCGGTTTTCAAAGTCAGTAAAGATCAAATCCCATTTTGACACTTTTATATTTTCATTTGTGCTACTGTTATCCATTTTCTGTTTTTTCTTTTTTCTTTTTCATTTATATCTTTATCCCCCAATAACATTTTGATATGTTTTAGCTTTTTTCCATCTAAGCAGCACATTGTGTCATCCAGTGATCCGGTGCTCCTTAAGAATGTGTACAATATGGCGGGTTGTACAAAGCATTCAACGTAATGCGGTTAATATTTAATGTTCACATTGCATTTGATGTGATATACAAGTTGGAAGCAGATTTTCTCTGTGGAACAATAAGACACGCTTTACCTTAACAAGTAGGTTACTAATTTAAAGCATAAACTAACCCTTTAGAGTCATTAGAACCTGTCCGACAGAATGAAGTAGGCCAAAAGATCTAAAAAAGAAACACATCATGACCCAGATAAATCGATGAGAAAGAGACTGGGGGAAAGTAGCTTCCATGACTTAAAATAAAAAAGATACATACCCCGTTGAAAACCTCCTGATCATTCCACCAAATCTTGATTTATGAATTAAAACATTAGTATTGTTGTTTCTAAATGAATATGAACTTGTTTTCTTTGCATTATTTGAAATCTGATCTTTTTT